AGATTCACTTTTTGAACCTTTGTCAACTAAATCCTCCTAGATTCTGTTTTTAATTTATCAGGTTTTTTATTTTATTTTATTTTTTTTTTACCAAAGTTAGTTACTGCTGATAAGATCAAACTATTTAACTCATGCACAATCATGGGAAAACTCTCTTTCCTCATAAAACTCCCTGCTTGTTTTCTTGTTAGACAGCAGTGTGCAGTCTTTACTGAAAGTGAAAACAAAGATCCAACAGAGACAAAAGAATGTGTTTGCATAGACGATAGAAATCTACCTGTTTGAGGCTTTGCACTGCGTCTAGTCTTTCTTGCTGAACCAGCCTAATTCTCCCAAACCGACCGTTTGAGGTTTTAGGCATCTTTTCATTTTGCTAAACAGGTTTTCCTCAGTTCCTTGTTTCTCTTCATCCTCTGAATTTTTCAGAAGTGTGGCAATTGTCAAGAAGTTGTTTAACTTGTGATCCTTTGAGCTATTGTGCCTCATTCCTTACAGCTGATCTCATTTGTCTCAGTTCCACTCATTACTTTTTGGATTAAATATACATGTGCAGTGTTAGTATGTACACAGTTTCAAGTGAAAGTAATCAAACTCCTACATTTAAAAGTGTATAAAATGTAAAGTCGGGTTGTTTTTAATCCCATTCACTTTGATGCCACATAATAAAACATAGTTTTACACAATGCTTTCATATGTCACCTGTTTTGCAAATGAGTCCACCTGTTTGTGATTTATTTTCAGTTATATACCTGTTTTACTGTAAAGGTTTGTAAGAAAACATTAGTGAAAAAATTGCCTCATGGAAACCAATGAAATGCTGATAGTTTACAGGAAGAAAGCAAAAACAAATTCCAACCTTCGAAAAGGCACCGTTAAGACCATCATCTAACAATGAAAACAGACTGACGCAGCATCTCACTGAGACATGGCTGTCCACCTAAACCGATAGACAGGGAAGAAGAGCATTTATTAGATAAGCATGAAGGGATCAAATCCAAGACGATCGTCCTTAAAAACCTGTACCTGGGAGTGGTAAAAAAAACAAATGTTGCTTAGGAGAAACCACACATGGTGATGACATCATCATGCTGGGTTAGGCCCCTATCAATTTAAAGGTCAGTTTTACTTTTCCACTGTGTATAAGATATTAGTCTACTTATAAAAGGTCTGAATGAAAACCTGTTGGAGTCTGTAAAGACTTTGAGAATGAGGTATATATTAATCTTCTAGCAGGAAGGAAACAACAAAAATTACAAACTTTTAGTTAAAAAGGATGTTTTTGAAAGTATGGATATTGGTGAAATAAATTTACCTTATTTCAAGCCTGAATTTTTATACGTAAACAGTTTTTCTTCCTTCTGCTATACAATTATGGGAAGAGTTTCTTGCAAAGCTCTGCACAAACAAGCTGTTAGCAGAGACAACTTTGCCAGGAAGTGTCCCTCGTTTAGATAAAGTCATCCTCAGAGACACTTTTGTCTCGTGTTCTTCTCACTTCCCATACATCTGATTTAATTCTGGTCCTCTCCAGACTCTTCTTTTTATCTAAAACGCTGGAGGTGCTCAAAAACAGCCGTGTGAGACAGAAGGGATGGCTGTCTGGAGTCTGGTCATCTCCGGTAAGAGGCTGTGTAAATTTAGCATTTGGCTGAAGCTTATCTAAGGTTGCAGCAGCAACACTCCCCAGGCCTGGGCAGGCCCACTTGGGGCTGCACTCCAATGGGCCTCTGAGTCACACGGGGATCAGTAGACGGGACGAGTCAGAGAAATAGGCTCGGCCTGAGTTTTACAAGAGCTGAAAAACTAATAAATCATTTGGGGTTATAGTCCATTGGACTTAACTTTTGAACAAACAGGACTACTTTGTTTATTTCAGTCAATTTAAGTTAAAAATGTATTTTCTGTTAGACACAAGTTGAAACTACTGTTCTGGTTTTACTTAGAGAAGAATTACAGTTTCATATTTATGTGAAATTAAGACACAGAAGCTCTCTGGTTCATTGCTCCTTATACAAATATCATAATTCATGGTGTTCTTTTTTTCTTGTGTTTGAGGCCAGGAAACAGGTTATTTTCAGCAGGTTGTTGGGATTAAAGCTTAGCTGCAGACTGACAAGAGAGGGCTCTCTCTCTGACGGTTCTGAGGAACCACGTGGATGTCAGAGTTACACGACAGAGTGAGAAGTGTGTAGGGAGTGAGATTCGGCTGTGCCTACTTGGTATGTGCATGTGAAGGTGAGGAAGGGTTGAGCGAGGTTTTATGATGACCCAGCATTAAACACGGTCTACTGGGCCTGCGTGACCTCGTTCGTCAAGTTGACACCCGGTTCTGTTTCTGTCCTGTGATTCACGAGGAGAAAAAGAAGGCCGTGAAGATGGCGAGAAATGGCAAAACGGAACAGGAGGGGGAGCGCTCAAGTGAGGAAGGCCTGAGGGAGGGCATGCAGATGTTCAGAGGAAGAAAAGCCACAAATGAGAAGTGGGGGAAAAAAGTAAATAAATGTGTGAGAAAAAGAGAGAGCAAACAGAGAGCACAGGGCGAGATAGCGAGAGATAAACAGTGACAACGTGAGGAGGACGAGAGGAGGACCAGAGCTGCCTCGCTTCAGTAACCTCCAGTAAACACCAGCAGCAGAGGAGACATCCATTCTGCTGAGCACCACTGTTTGGAAAACTGTGACATGATTCAGCTATATTTAAACTGCAACTCGTCTTCAGTGTTGGCATCCTTCAGTGTGTCCTAACAGGCAGCATGTTTTCCATCAAACCTTTGTTTTCTGCTGGTTTTCTTTTTATGTTAAAGAGGACGGCTTGTCTTTTACCAAACACAAACACTCCAAATCATCTTGACACCAAAACACTTTCTCTTAATGTCTGAGGTCCAGCACCACTTTCTGCATTCACCTGTTTATCTGTGATGATTCCTATAGCTTCTGTTGAGTCCACATTCAGCTCAGAGCTCATCTGACTTTATTAGGTGGACATCCTCCAAACAAAATATATAGAATTCCCATAGAAGTCCTTTCTGTTTACATAATTGTTGCATTACTCCTGTTAAGTGATGTCATATGATCCCAAAGCAGCTGTAGTCAAATATAGCTAATTTACATTTATTTTTCAACCATATTTGCATGATTAAACCCTTATTCGAGGATAATTATTACTTCCTGGTTTGAGACAGGTGGTAATAACTGAGATCCTCCCAGAAACCCATCCCCCATCTTTCTGGTTTGACTGCTTAACATATGGGATTTCTCATTTTCAGTGTTCCCACACTGAAATCCTGGTGTTTCGCTATAATAATCTCTGTTATTCATGATAAGACATGTTTTGCATGCTTCCCTAACTTTAAGAAGAAATTATAGGAACTAGATATTTAAAAATTTGAAATATAGACTATTGTACTAAAGCTCTCAGCGAGGACAGGTTTAACTGCAGTGTGTCTTTGTAATAAGTTAAATTATTAGTAATTATGTCTTTACATGGTTCCATCAAACTCAAAAACACTTTGTGAAACCTCCATTCAGCTTGAGGCCATGTTGTAAATCATTACCTGATGGAGGAATAAACCCAATGGGAAGACAAAGAGATAATGGATGCGCTTTTCTGTTTCTTCTGACCTTGTCTCCGTTATGTTCTGTGGGCCTGGAGAGGAACTATGAAGTGACGTGTCCCACAAAGCAAATGATGTAAGCAAAATCATTTAAGAAGAAAAAAAAAACTTGTGGGGAAACTAAGCCAGTTAAACTAGACACACAATACATTTAATTGGAGCTCTGGGACACATGGCTTTAAGTGAGATGGTTTCGAATTATGAAGCAGGTTTCAGCTTAGGAGATATAAGTTATCTCAATCTAAACTGCAGTTAAATTTATTTTTATGTTAACTGAAGCTAGCAGCCAGTCTGAGAGGAACCAAGACCAGAAACAAAGACATCAGAGGTTTATGCAGATGCTACTTTGTAAAATCTAAATAACTATAACTGTTGAACTAGGCAGTTATTTACAAAAAATAGCCAACAATTTAACAACATTTAAACAAGACATGGAGGTAGGGCATCACCAATGAGCTCCCTGCATGAAATATATACTGATAGAAACATGTAAAGGATTTCCATTAGATCTAAATCTGTAAAATAATGTAAACATAGCAACCAACCAACAAGACTGATACTAAACAAAGACACCAATAGAGTTATCTACTGCTGCCTCCAACCTTTAACTATTGCTTTAACAGTGTCATTATTAGCACGGATGCCCCTTATTTCTTATAAACGTGAACTTCTCAGTAAGTCAGCTAGAGCACGTCATGGCCGAGGGAACACCCAGCCTCCCTGGCAGGTGGTGCTGGTGTTGTGGTTTGATAAGCCCCCCCTATCGACGTGCAGCTTCTGAAAGCCTTGATAACAAATACATATATATATATATAACTGCACCCTGTAACCTCTCAGAGCTTTCGTAGCAACGATGGGACAAATGCTTCCAAACTCACGTAGGCCATCAACTATTTACAGACACAGAGGTTTAAAACTTAAGAAAATAGGGAAAAAAAATCTGTTCTGTTTAAGGTATGCAAGATGACAAACTGTGCCGAGTCACTGGTATTTATAATGGCTGGCAAAATTGGATAAGTCTACCCCTCCTTCACATATTGCTGCACACTGACTTACAGCTAGCTGAACATTGCAACTTCTGTTAAATATCTCCCACAGCAAAAGGCATTTACTGAAAAAAAAAAAAAAAAAAAAAAAAAAAAACGACTTATGGGCACACTTAGGTAACATAGTTTTTTTAGACTCCAGATAACTAAGCTCAGACTGCAGGCCTACTACAAGCAGATCCCCCAATATAAATCTATTACAACATAAAAGGGGCATAAAATCACTTTACATTATTCTAGAAATATTCTTATACTTCTTATGTGTAATCAAAACAGGAAATATGCGACCTTGTGGGACCTCTGTTGCCTATATAATAGAAAAGAACACATCAAAAGGGAGCTGGAGTAGAAATTTTTTATTCTTTATGGCTTGTTTCAAAGGATTGTATAGAACAATCTTACTGAAAGAAAAAGGAATTTCCAATGAATCCATCCAAAGATTCACGGATTGGTAACATCATAAAAACAATGACACTTTTAGAGCTGCAGGAATGACTGCAAGTTAAATGAAATCAGTGTCACAACTAGCTACAATAATAATAATAATAAAAAAAGAAAAAAAAAACATTTTTTTTTAACTTAGTACCTCCTATAAATACCTACGTATAAATATTGAAAAAAAAAGCAGGTGATGACATCTGAATATGCTGTACATGGACATCCCTTGGAGAGCAACAGTTTTCTGACCATCTTGTAAAGAAAAAAAACAAAAAACAAAAAAAAAAAAACCCACTGGTGTTTGTTCTCAGTGTCGGCAAATTTTCTTCTCCATATACACAGCTTCTGCCTCCCGATACTGTTTATGATTATCTACATCAAAATGAAGTTAGCATAGCCCAGCTCAGTAACAATGGGGCTCGGTTTGGAGAGAAGAGGCACCATTAAATAATCTGACGATTCAAAAAGAGGTTTGTCTTTTTCTTCTTTATTTAAGGCCTCTTGAAATAAAATATTGAAATAAAGTTGTGCAGTCTCTTAGAGTTGAAATCTCTGTTCATTAGGCAGGTCTCTGTTGCATGCCTCTCCAATCACCACCAGAAACGAACAAAAATGTCCCTCACTGTCTTCAAAGCAGCAGTGTCCACTGTGTCGGGTCCAGTGAACTCAGACATGGTGAGAAGGCGTCCACATGCCGCCATCTCCGATGGACGTGTACCCTCTGCTGATTGAGCTACAAGAGATGCCAACATGGATAATAATGGCAAACAAACAAATAGTGACAAGGACATTAATACAATAGTATAGAATAAAATTATATTAATAAGAATAATAAAAAAAAAATGAAGTGTCATGTTCTGGAAGCCCTTGGAAGCAACCACATGCTTTATGCTGTTCAGCTTCCCATCCTGAGCGCCAAGCAGTCATCCCACCCCTTGTCACAATGGGCTAGCAGCCCATCCTGATCGCATAGTGCAATAATCCCATCATTTTTCCTGAAATCTGCTGCTGACAACAGCAGTGGCAGCCTATAGGGGTTTGCTCTCGAGTCCAAAAATTCTCCATCTTCTTCTATATTTAACAGCTGACCATCTCCGTTCTATCCCCATGCTCACTGCATCCTCTCCGGCTGGATGTGCTGCTGCGGGGCGTAGTGCAGGAAGGCCGGGGCCTGGTTGGTAGCGGAGGGCAGGGTGGGGTGCACGGAGGCCGCGGCTGTGGTGGCGCCTGCCGGGCCGGCGGAGGCAGTGGGGCTGGTGGCGTAGCCGTAGCCCAGGAAGCCGGCGGGGGAGGCGGCGTAGGGATACTGCTGCTCGAAGGCGGCGTGAGCGTACTGTGCGTAGGCAGAGCTGTAATCCAGGTAAGGGCTGGTGCCGACCGAGGCGGAGACTTGAGTGGGCAGGAGCAGGCTGGGCTGTACGAACGCTTGAGGGTAGATGTATGGCTGGGTTAACCTGCAGAGAGACAGAGGAAGGGGAGGGGGAGTCAGCGGGGCTACAGCGAAGAGAGGAATCCCCCTGGCTTTCCATCTATTGTTTACATTACTCTCTTAGGAGAGTGTGTGTGTCAGGAATATAAACTCTGTACTCCTGTTGATCTCCATTATCTCACACACTTATGATGGCTGTGTGAGGAACAAAGAAAGGTTAGTACCAAAGGTGACTCAGTCCTCTGTCTATGTCAGTTAGTGAAAACCACAAAACCTGTTCGGTAGGACCTCCCACGCGAGACGAGAGGGAACAAGCGGGGGGTGAATGACAGAGGCAGCCGTTACTGGCAGCTTTTCAAGATCAGGCATCAACAGTGTTTTAACAGCTGCAGCTCTTCACCCTCTGAACACACTGACACAGACAGAGGGAGGAAAAAAAAAAAAGGGAAGTGCTTTAAGGGAGGGCAGAAGTTGCTGTCTTTTAGTTCCCAATCAGTTTGTAACCCTGTCATGTATAATCACACAGGTGATGATTGTGGCTGGGGAGCTCATCAGGGCTGCTGTGAGGCTCGTGGGCCAGCTCAGAGGTAGCTGATGAAGGCCCAGTTCGACAGCCTTTACTTCATCCAGAAAAGAAATGGTGAGTTGTTTTTTCCCCTTTTTTTTGGAAGTTTAGAATCTAAAAGTGAAGAGTTTCATCCCTGTTCCTGATTTCTCCAACAAACACAAAAGAAGGTTGTCAAAAAACAGCCAGACCTGCCTTTAAAGGAAGCTTTAACGCTTATTGGAACAAACACTGACCCACATCATGAGAAAAGTAACAAAAAAAAACAACTTTTACATAAAAGTAAGAATAAAAACTAAGAAAATTCACCCGTTTCCTCCCACATACAGTTCTTAATAAAATCAGTTACACAAAAGTAATCTGACAAGTCAAAGCAAAAGACAGAAGCATGCATGTACAGGACCTTGGAAACTTCTCCATACTGCTTGGACTTTTTCACGTCGTCACATTACAACCACCTACTTCTATTCTACCAGAATGTTAGGTAGCAGCCAAAACAAAGTAATAGCCAAGTGTGAAGTGGTAGTGGAAGGATTTCTTATTTCATAAGGCACCAATGCAAACCTACCAACCTAGAAAAGGGCAAGGTTAATCAGAGAAGCAGCCAAGAGGCAGGCGGTTACTCTGGAGGAGCTGCAGAAGTCGAAAAAACTGACTGAAAACTAAAATGATTTCATATTTTCACCACTTCACACCAAATGGGCCACTGAAGTTTGTGGTTGTAAGGCAACAAGATGTGAAAAATGTCAATCGGAGGGAAACACTTGCAAGGCACTGGATAAGGATTTACTCCCTTTATAGATCTATGCACACAAACACGCCTCATTATCTCTGCTCACCCCACCAACACGCACACACCAGTTACCACTGCAAACCCCAAACCATGCCATAATAGGGAAAGGCTCACACCGCAATCAACATAAGCTCTTCAGTTCATATCAAACAAACAGGAGAAAAAAAAAAAAAAAAAAAAGATAAGACACTCCAGTCCATCACAGCACACTGCACTGCACTCTCAAGCCTTCACTGGCACCTTGTAGAGAGGCTGGCTGAGGAACACAGGAATGAGGGCAGACATTTTCCCTGAACAAATCATCTGATCCTCTGCTGGTGCACTTGGTCAGCTGGCAGCGGACGGCAACCGCAGCATAGAAATGAAATTAAAGCGATAAATGTCAGCAGTGAGACTTGGGTCAACCTATAACTACATGGAACTAGAGTTGGGAATTAAACACCAATGGAAACAATCTATAAAAGCAAAAAAATTAATTAAGTTTTAAACAGTGCATAAACATTTAGAGAAATTTATATTATAGGTAAATTATTAAAGGGTAGATACAGTGGGTGAGAACTCCCCACCACCCACCCCCAGAAATATGCATCTAAATTCCAGCCTTGATGTTCCTGTAGAGCCTTGGGAGAGGACTACCCTCACTCCAACTCTAAATGACCGCAAGTAAGGAGGAAGGCAAAATAACTGTGGATCACTGCTCTGGTGCAGCAATGATGAGATCAGCTGCAGTCAGAAGGAGAAATGGGTCCAGCATAGATGCCAAGTACCCTGAAAACGATGGGAGACAGTGGATGACAGGCGGAATATAGCCGGTCAGCTGGTTTTCTGCTTACTCCCGTCAGAGCACAATATTGAGTGACAGGCCAGGACACCAGAGAGACAAGCTCACAAAAAAAAAGAAAAAAAAAAACACTGGATGGCGACACGTATTCCAACCAAAGGCTCCAGCATTCATCATTATGGGGGGAAAACGTTAAGCTGTTGAGAAAAGCCTGGGAGACGTTTCACCAAGCAGCTAAATATTTCACAGATGAGCTTCAGCTCATGGCTCCACGCAAAGCATCGAGTGTGAAACCAGACAGGGCTCAGAGAAGGTAACCCCCACTTACCAAAAAAAAAAAAAAGATCTGCAAAGATTGTTTGAAGGCCAAAGGGGACAAAGGTGTTTTGTTTGACACCTGTAGAGAGTCTCCATGGGACCACTTTGCCTCATTAAACACAGAGTCAAAGAACCCCCCCCCCCCCCCCCCCCCCCGTTTCATTCTCCTCCAAGTCTCACAGAGGTGTCGGTTTTCAGAGACTCTGCCGGATTGAGAAGTGGTGAGAGCACGCTAATGAAAGACAAAAAAATGATAAAAGAAAAATTTTAATGGGCAAGAATCCGACTGGATGAAGCATGTCCCCTCATCCCCTTCCTATAAACACACAGCTTCAATGACCCCATTGGCCCACCCCACCCTTCCACTCCACAGCATATGCTGATCACACACACTTATCCACAGTAGCCTCTATGTGCAGCATCAGCGCATGGCTCAAAATCGCGCTCAACACCACTTCTTCCTCCCGCCATATGTTGACAGGAATTTCCATGGGGGCGGGGGGGAGAAAACCCACTTGTACAATCTCCATCTCAGTGGGTACCGTGTCCGACACCCGAGCCAGGCGGAGCAACCTTTGAGATGGAGAGGACAGGTGTTAGGCGAGCCTCGGGGGGGGGGGGGGGGGGGGGGGGGCTGGCGGTGGTGACAAGAGATTACGGAGGGGGTTTGGTCCAGCACCTGTCGGGCACACGCCTTACAGACCGCAGCGCTGCGAGTCACGTGTGTAAAACCCTGCATTTCTGCAGCTCTCTCTGGACTAGCTGCAAGTGGAAAGGACTTTTACCGTCAATGAATATTGTCACTATAAGTTTATTTACTTCAACATCAGGAAACTGAAACATATACCCTGATTTCACTCAGTGCGATATAAAGTTTATCTTAGTTTATTTTGCTTGTATCTCAGAAAACCAAAGTTTTGGATTCTAAAAGAAATTACATACGAGTAAAATATTTCTGACCATGCTGGTGGAGAATGAAGGGGAAGGAACATTTCATATTGAAGTCCCAGGGTTTGGAGGAATTGTGGAACCTTTACATCGCCCCGGTTTTTACTTTCCACCACCAGTGCTGATAAGGAAACCATCCATTCATCAGGAAACTTAAAAGAACTTCATGTTTCACTCTGCTGATCCTTTAAAAGAACATTTGGTTTTTGCCCACAATGACAAAACCCTCCAATACCTGCTCCAGTGACCATGGTAACGGTCAGACTGAGGAGACATCAATGGAGTACGACCTCCAAGGGACGTCACTTTAGGCCCAAAAGGGTTCAGAGTTCAGTAGATATACTGAACATCATGATGGATGAATCATCATATAAGTTGATATTTCTGTTAAATATCCATTAATGCACTGATTTATTTTTTATAGGAGGGATTTATGTACAAACCCTGGGATAAAGCATGATGGAAAATGGATGGATTTATGTACAACACGATCGTCAGAATAACAGAAGTGATAAATCAATAATCACTTGAAATAACTTCCTCTTACTGACTTTATAGAACAAGGGTGAGTTTTTCAATTAAATTAATGAAATAAAATATAAATATTTTAATGGAATTTTTATTCCTTCACATAAGAAAATAATCTAAAAAATACAGTTATAGCATTTCAATCTAATTTGTAGCATTTATTTTTTCTGTTTTGCAACTAGACACTTCTGGAGAAAGAAACAAAATGATGATTAACTGATTAAAAACATTCTGCTTAATGTTTTGTTATTGTTGATTAAACAACTCGAAGCATTCCTTGGAACACATGGCAACAAACGCCCAAACTAACTCCAACCAACTTTCTGACCCCCTTTATCCAGACAGCAGGGCTTTGCATGTAAAATCCAAACATGCCTTGTACCGTCGCTTCAAGCGTGATATCCGAGAGCTGCAGGGGGAGTAAGAAGAGTCATAACAGAGAAATGGTCGTTAGCTGCTCAGCCAACCGCAGCTTCCAGACGCTATGGAGTTTTCTCCTCCACAGCATAGCCCCCGCTCAGGCAGGTCCCCGAGTCATGAGGCCCCTGACAGAGAGGTTAACAAGGGAGTCACTCGTTCACCTCTAGAACGTGCGTCCATTACCACAAATATACGCGAATCGTCTCTCTCAAAATATGCTTATGGATGGAGCTAGTGGAGTTGCATGTGGACACTGAAACTGCCATGTTCTACCCAGAGGCTGTGTTTGTCAAATAAATAGTAGCCCAGTGGCATAATAGCAGAGAGCATAACAAGCGCCCACTCCCCTCTCACTTACCCATACTGCCTCTGGATGAGTGCCGGGTGGATGGGCTGCACTCCGATGGATATGCCTGGGAGAGAGAATGAAAACAAACAAAAAAAGAGGAGGCTGGTTGTTAGACACATCTGCATTTACAGAGGAGGAGCAGAGAACAATGCACAGAGGGCATGGAGAGACAGAGGCACAGCCTGTTCCATCCTACCATGGAAAAAAAAAAAAAAAAAAAAAAACATTCTAAAACGTGCAAAAAGAAGAAAACATATACACCGTTTCAGAGCCGTCACAGATATACAAGCTCTGTATGGATTTTGTTTAAAGATGGGAGCTGTAGGGTACGATCATGTGACCTCAGATTAAACAGCTAAAGTTTGTCCCGGCCTGATAAAATGCAGTAAATCATAGTTTTAATCAAGATGGATCCAGAACACTTTCAGGTGTTTAAACCCCCGTTATACCAATACTGAGAGTCATAAATAGATCAATATATTAACAATATAAACACGGCTTTCTTTCAATTGGTTTATAAAAGAAAAAGTCAAATATCAAAACAATAACTTCATTTCACCAGATACAGGTCAAAATATATGAAACATTAAAAGCATGATAATTTAGTATGAATTTGTAAATTGATAATATTATAATTTATTTACTAAAAAAGCTTCATTATTGTGCGTGTTATATATGTGTACACATATACACACACACATTTATTAAACTTTTTTTTTAGGAAATACATTCATTAGTCATTTACATGTAAACTCTGTAAAGGAAATGTAAACATAAGTTTCTTCAAATGGATGGCAACAAAATCTTTAATTGTGGGTTATAATTTTAATCTCTGTCTGATTAGATCAGACAGAGATTAAAATTATATTTACAAGGCTCTGTCTCACCTGTCTGCAGGCTGCGAGGCTTGGCGCCCAGGTACGCCAGGTTGACGTTGGCCTTTCTGCCGTCTATGATGGGATTGGGATCCTTGCAGGCTCTCTCTGCCGCCCCTCGGTCAGTCATGGTCACCTGGCAACCACAGACACAACGGTCATGCTTTAGCCTCTTGAGGTAAGTCGAAAAACATTAACCAGCTTTAAGCTTAAAATGGACCATTCTGCTATGTGAAACCACTTTAAAGAGCTGATATTAGCCGATTTATAAACTGGGCTACCTGCTATTTGCTTATCCACAGGTTTTAAACTAACCTCAGAGTGACTGATGGCTCCACTTTCTAAGCTAAATCATTCTGTGGCCAAAGATGGGTCCTAAAAGCCGATTTATATTCTTGTAAGCAAGCCAAACATAGAAATAGTTTTTAGGGTAGCTGACAACCAGTGTGCAGCCCCATTTGGGTGAAGGGCAGTGAAGCGTTACTCTACTCTCCAGCCGCTCTAGCTCTCTCGCATCTCATTAAATGAAATTACAAAATAATGGAAAACTTTCAGGAGTTTGGAAATGGAAACTTTTTAAACCTTAACTTGTTTTTCTTTCCTTTCATCCAATCTATCTAAAGAAAGGGGGGGATAAAAACAACACCAAAGCAAAAATGATAAGCCTTAAAAAACGCCCACAGCAGCAGTAGCCGGCCTAGCGACTGCCACCGACACATGGGCAGAAGTGCTGAAATATGGATCTGGCCAACAAGAAGCTTATCCAATTAGGAACAAAATAAGGAGATTGGTATTAGTTCCTCCCCCCCAATCTCCCTCCTGGCATTAGATGAACCCTCCTACTTTGGTTGCCACAACCAAAGTAGGAGAAAAGCCCTTCCTGTGTATTTTGAACACACAGGAAGGAACCAGGCTGCGTTTACACTGAAGCGCCTTGCCGTGACGTTAGGGTGGTGGAGGTTAGAGGGGGTCTACTAATCCACCTCTGAAGTGTGTTTAAGACCAAAGAAAAAAAAAAAAAAAAAAAAAACACACCACACACACAAGCGCAACTTAAGAATCCCATTTCTCATCTTCCCAGCAGCAAATGCACCTCGGTGAAGAGGACCAGCAGGCTGAAGCCAGACTAATAGTGTAGAACAGGGAGGTATAATCCTAGGAAGCACCCGCATGATTCAACAAAGAGCCTGTTTAACCTGAAATGGCAGCTTCCAAAAAATAAATAAATAAAAACACTCGGTACCTGCTGAACTCACGGGACAGCTTCCCCTCTGACTTCATGAGCTTATGTGTAAACAAGACACAATTGTCTTCCAATTCCCCCTTTAAGGGATATACATGCAGACAGAACCGTTTCCACTCCTTCTTTGGCCTGAGCAGACAGCCCAGTTGATGTGTCTCTGCAAAGTTCTGGTAAATATTTGCATTTTTGTACCCACTCCTGCTTCTGTTCTTTGTGCTTTTATCTTCCAGGGATGGGATAAGTCACCTATTAACTTTGAGAGAAACACAGTAGTATAGAATGTAGATGTAACAAAACTGGAGGTTATTTTAGGGAATTAAGCCACAATATAAACCAAAGACATTTTCCCAAAGAGAAGTCACTGAATAATGTGAAAGCTGAGTAATGAAGTATGGATTTAACTGCAGGATTTCCTTCTGCTTTGTATTTCTGTGGGTGATGTCATACGCATCAACCTGAAGCAGCTGCATTAGTAAACATTATGGCAGAGGAGCTTTCATTAGACGTCAAGCGGACTCAGAACAGTACGAGTTCAAGTCAAGTCCAACTGGTGTTTAAAACAAACTTTGAGCCTGATTACCTCCACGGGGCTCATAGGTCTGTTAGCACGGGGATCATGCGTGATTGGAGGAAGCAGGGGATGAAAGGAACAAAGCAATCGGATCATATGGTTCCATAACATCATGTCTCCAAATGATCTTCTAGAGATCTTCCAGGATTAAATCTGCTCAGATCCTCTTCACAAACTGCTACAAGTATAATGGTCACTTCTATAAGTGAAACGAACAGAGGAGGGGGTGTTTGGACCATACCTAGAAAACCAAGGCTCCAACCTAATTTTCAGAATCTCCTCATAGTCTACTGTAAGTAAATGTGGTTATACGAGTCTGGTCGCATCCAACAACAGGAGGTCTGTTGGTTGTTTTGTTTTGATTGTGGTGCATAATCTGACATAGCTGATAAGCATAAACTGGAACAAACAAGGGGATTGACCATAAAACGACTGGAAATATGGTCAAATTCGAAACAATGTAGAAAATAATTCATTTAAACGTTAGAGCAGAGTCTTTTTTTTTTTTTAGCATGGCTCATCTTCACGTTTCCTCAATATACCAAACTACCAAGTAAAACGAAGGAAGGAAATAGAAAATTGGCACAAAATGGGGGTTTAAATTAGCTGCATAATATCAGGAAAGCATGGAACTGTGGCATCGTTGTTGACCTGCAGGTTCCTCTTCCCTTTACTTTATTCTTCGTAATCATCATATCCTCGCCACTATGTGAGCCTTATCACCTTAATGCAATATATAGTAGTTACTTTAAGGGAAGTAATGGTTTATCAACTAGGGTCAGCATTGGCATCCGGTCAGAATGAATGGCCCTAAGAAAATTAAAGAAGAAAATATAAACAAAGCAAATTTATCCATGTCTTTGCACTCGTGAGTTGGAAATCTCAATGTCCATCAGACAGAATAGAGATGCTCTAGTTTTATTAGTATTCCCTGAAATCCAGGTAGCTTAAAAGTTTTACCACAGCTTTGCAGAGTACACATGAAAACCTTCAAAATGATAATTTAAAAAAAGAGGAAAAATGAATAGACCCAAGATGTCAATCAGTTGGGTTGCAGGACGTAGATCGTTTTCTTTTTTTCCTCTTTAAATCAATAGTGTCTGAGATTATTCGTAAAACTGAGGCATGCATGTTTAACTACTTTCACCCCTCTCTCTTCCAACAGCTCAAATGCATGTAAATCATGTCTCCTGGTCCCTGACAATGGAAAACAGTGTGTACAAGGTCAACCTTCCCACTGCTCTGAAATAACCATATAAAGCAGGCATGGAGATCAGCCTCCCTCACACACACACACACAGACACACACACACACGAATAATCTGGGGCTACTCAGGGCTGGGGTCATTGGATGGGGGTTGGACATAAGACATATGTTGAAATATAATCTTCTTAGTTACTCATCAACTTTTGTGATCCTTCATCCTCATTAACAGAAATAAACACCAACCAGGCAACAAAGGGAGGGAAAAAACAAGAAGGCGTCAAAAATAAGACGTTTGTATGAATTATATGCAAGAAAATGTCACTAATAACAGGTTTCATAGAGATCGAATTATGAAAAACAAGTTTTACGAACAAACAGAACCTAAGGAGATAAGTTGAAAGGACGTGTTTTGTGTTATCCAGAGTGATTTTAGAGTCAGAGGTGATTATACTTACAAAGCCGTAGCCCCTGGATTTACCGGTCTGCCTGTCCGTTATCACCACGGCCTCGTCAATGTCCCCGAAAGCCTCAAAGTATTTCCTGAGCGAAGCGTCGGTCGTGTGGTACGGCAGCCCGCCGACGAAGATTTTGGTAAACGTGGTGTCTTTCTGGACCGGTGTCGGCGGCATGACTTCCAGGGATCCGTTCATGTACTGATGCAGGAGCATTGGTCGAGCCGGAGAGGAAGACCGCGAGACACACGTTTACTAAGGTAACCGCTTAACAGTTCCCCGACATCCAAAAGAAACGAGCTCTAACCTCTCGCTTTTATTGTAGCTCTCAGTAAAATCTGGTAAAAGTTGTGACCACCTGTAGGCTTCCGAGCTTCACGCCTTCAACGGCCACAACACCAGAGCAGGTTGTCATTCCCTAAATGTGCGAGGAGTATTTATTCGAAGAAGTGTGACTCCGCCCCCTACAGAACTGTTGACCAATGAGCGTGGACTCCTCGTGCTCACCATCTGCGGCTCCCATTGGCACCTGCTTGTCTTCTTCAGCACAAAGAAAACCCTTCAGCGTTTACTGTACTGAAGAAACGCTCCACATGGTGAACTGCTTTAACCTAAGAGGGGAAGTTAAACCACCTAATTCTCCTTATCGAAATATAGACAGATATGATATTGCAGGTAGAAACTGGGAAGGTAGGACACGCTACAAAACAGGGGTTTGAATTAAATAAACTTACCATAGCTTCCCGTTTAATCATTAATCCCCATCTCAGATCTAGGGTTCAAATTTCGTGAAACAAAGCATTGAAGTAAAATGTTGCTCAAATTCTATTAAATTTTGATAAACCCCATAACTAAGCTTTGATTATATGCAAAATTGAATCGTGTAAAATAAACAGTTATTTAGAAAAAGCAAATTTGTTGTGTTTAAATTCCGGAAGATAATTAGGACCACTGAAAATAAGTAAAGACTTATCTCAGAATTCTGACTTTTTTCTCAGAATTCTGACTTTGATCTCAGAATTTTGGATCTTAATGTAGATATGCACCATGAAGGAAGAGATGTGGGAGCTCTCAGCTTCACTGACAAAGATGTGAACTGTTTGGGAGGGCCAGTGACACTTTGGTGGAAAATGACACAATTAGGCAATTTTTTATGTGTCCGAGGGGTCCCTGGTGATGCTATTTCATTAATGGAAGAGCAGAAGGTGATTAAAACAAGAGAGCTAGTTTAGTCTCTAAAACACACATGGCTTGATGTAAACATGTTTGTTAGCTGTCAGAATTCAGAGATTTAAGTCAGAATTCTGAGAAAAAAGTCAGAATTCTGAGATTAAAGTCAGAATTCTGAGATTAAAGTAGGAGTTCTGACTTTTTTCTCATTTTATACTGAAATAAAATTTAAAAATCAGTTAACTTTTTTATTTTTTCAGTGGCCCTAATCCTCTTCTGTATTTAATCGGTAATCCCCAAGTTGGGCTTTTTTCTGATCGTTTTTTCAATTATAATGAGTTGCGTGTGTCCATCATTGGTTTGTTCTGAGTTTGCCATTGTTTCAATTACACCTCTTAAGACATAATTTAGATGTATACAAAAATAAGGGTTAAATAAAAGTGAATTCCACCAGAGAGTTCTTATCTTTGGGAATACACAAGGTAGATGTTTTTTTTTTTTTTTAACATAAGGTTATTCACAAACCTCAAGATAGCCAGGCAAGCTTTTATTTTCAGACATCCAAATGGAGTGTAGACACTTTATTCTACTCAAAAAAAAAAAAAAAGCAAGAGGAAGTTGCAGTTTCAACCTATTCTGCTTTGAAGATGAACCATACATGAACAAAGAAACCAAAATAATGTGTAGTAGATGACTAGCAGACTCTATGGAAGGTTGTTGTTCTTTAGCTGCCGTAGAAAGGAGTCTCTGCTTGATCACCTTAGGTTAACTGTTATCCTTTGCGGGCAGTGCTTTTATTTTATTTTATCTTTTTGTGCAGCACTTTGGAAACCTTGTGTTTATTTAAACCGTGCTATATAAATAAAGTGGATTGGATTGGATTAACTGGGGATGAATCCCTCTATTAACTTCAGCTGAAGTGGTTCCCAATCAAGTGTTGTTGAGGATGGAGAGGATGGGAGCGAGAAGGGTGTTCCCTCCTCAGCTGCTCTGTCAGAAAGCATGAGACCAATAAACAGATAGATGCAGGCACTCTGAGCTGCCTTAGCTTTCTAAGTTTGAACTCAGATGTAATATTTGTACTTTACTCTCATTAGAGAAATATACCTCTGCATTTACCCATTCCCTTGGGGAGCAGCGGGCTGCCATCGTGGGGCGCCCAAGGAACAATCAGGAAAGGGTCTTGCTCAGAGACCCAGAGTTGCAGTCTGTGGGATTGGGTTTCAAACTCACAACCTCATGATTTCAAGCCCTATGCCCTAACCACTATGCCGTCACTCCCCTTAAATCGTATTTTTAAAGTTACTTTAATTTGTTTGAAAGTGATCAATCTGGATCCTAGATTCTGCTAGCTTACTTTGCAAATCACTGGAATGTCTGGTTTTCTGTTCCCTTTGAATGATCAACTTCTGCAATGCCACCTTCCCATCCTAACAAGACTTTAACTCGGATCACATAACTGGCACACAAAAAAATAGCCTTCTTAACACATAAAATACAGCCACGTGACCATAAATGTGCACTCCCAAATCAACTATTACAAGTCTGGAAATGGGATATTCTCTCTCAAAGGAAATATAATTTTAATACAACCCCGATATATATTTTTTTTGTTGCCAAATTTAAGAGTCTTACGATAGAAATAGCTAATTTAAGATCTAGAAGAAAAAGATTCAGGCCTTAAAAATCAGGAGACTGCTCAACTCAGAAGCGAGCTGGCATCTGAGATAAATGTTATTGCTTGAAATCTTAGCAAGGAGGTTTAAATTAAGTTGCTTCATACCTTCGCGCCAACATTGCCTTGGAGGTCTACTGTTAGGTACCAAGGGTCAGGTTTGACAGTGAGGCGACACTCTAATGACCTCTATAAAAAGACACTTAACTCCCACCTTTTGCTCTAAGATATGGACCTCTCTTCACACATTGCTTTTGTAGTATCCCCAACGACCTCATTCATATCCTCTTGTAATCCCCCTACCAATGGAGAACTGGACAAGAGTCTGATAACGCACCTTTGATCTCATTTGTCTTAGTTGTGTCTGCAACCAGCAGCTGAAAGAGTCGATTGTTTGAAGACATGCTCCTCCTATTGGTTAACTGTGAGTGATACAGGCAGAGGAGCTTAAAACTGATACCACAGCTCTCTGATTTCAGAACAAAGAATATACAGTTTTTTTTTTTTTTTTTGTAATTTCTAAATTTCTGCATCAAAACGAAAACACATGTTCACATCTAACAGTGCGCACTTATTTATTTTACATCTTTATCTTTAATGAAACAATAAGTAACAAGTTACAAGAAAATGGAAAATATTTGAAGTTGTGAAAATAAAAAAAGGGGGGAAAAAAAAGGTACAACCTTGATACTTTGAACCTGTCAAATAGGAAAGAGAAATTAATATCAATAACATATTAACCCACCCCCCCTCCATGAGGACCTCAAAGGCCAACTATCATGCAACATCAACATGGGTTGGCCCCCTCTGATTGGTCCATGCACGGCACCAGAAAGCCACAGCATTGGTCCAGACTTCTGTCGCAAGGAAGGGGGTAAGTCTTGAACGCATACACGCACACTAAAGCAGCAGGTCTCCCGCAATTCCCCACAAGAGGTGCGATTGGCACGATGAATCTGGAGACAGGAAGCAGCAGTCAGTGACAGAGCAGCAAGTTTGTTTTACATCTTGTTTATTTCTGAACAGAGAATAAAGAAGAAAAACAACTGTTCTACAATCAAAAAGTACGCTTGATTTCAGTAATATGTCTTTTCCCCATTTTTAACTAAATATTAAAAATAGCTACTCTTTAAGTACCTCTTCAAACAACTATACAGCTGATGCTTACAGGCTGGACACGTTTGCTAAGACAGAGGCTCCATGCGTTACAATCCTGTTTGTATGAGTACACAGGTTTTCTGTGCACACACTAAAAACATACCATAAATAAAGTGCAATATTCAAACAGGCTGACAAGAGGATTCACATCACATCTGTATCCTTACTGCCCACATTCATGCATGCCCTTGAGAGCCCACAGTCAGAGCCACAGGAGCAATCAGGAAATGGGAAAGCCCCCATTCATTGACCGCGGTCTCCACGGTAACAGACGGCTGTCATCTCTCTCACCATTTCTTGTTCCGAGGCTTCAGCTCCTCAGCAGCGTTCCTCAGAAAGATGTAGTTCTTTTTCTGGGGGTTGTAGTACTCATGGCCCTAAAAGATCAGGATTTTTTTTTTATAGAATAAAACATCTATGGGGGGAACTACTGTTGTGATGTTTTTACCTTTGACCAGTCGTAGCTTGAAGCGTATGCAAAGATGTTGCCATTGTTGTTGAAGCAGCAAGCCGTGATGGGCTGGTCAAGCTGCTCGGAGGTCTTCAGCTTGGTGCGGGCATCTTTGTCCCAGAAGCTGAAGCGTCCGTCTGAGCCCACAGTGGCCAATGTGCCGTGCACAGGATGGAAGGAGATGGCATTGACCTGACAATAAAAATCAAAAGACAGAAAGGCTAGTTGTTGAGGAAGGTTAAAGTGGAATAACATTCAAGAAGCTGTTCATATGTTGTCTAGTAAAAATAAAAAACATTTTACTGTATTAAGATTTGATGTTACAAACTGTAAAGTGGAAGGAAAAATTATTTTTAAAAAATTTTAATGGTGAAGAACATATCAATCGGAATATGCTTGTGTGCATTTCTTTTCAGTCAGCACTGCAGAACCCCCCTCTATAGCAGTTAAAGCTGCAACTCCTACTGGATGTTTCTCTATAAGCTGTAAACACAGTCAGATAAAAGTTTTTGCAAATTGATTTTTGTAAACCAGCTGACAGGCAGAAGGGAACATGTCTGTTTATATCAATAAACATCTCTTACCACAGATTAGCAACTACACAAATATATGTTTTAGTCTAAACCTATAAAATCTTAATATTACTGTATGCTTATAGTCAATAATCCAAGCTATTGTGTATTTTTAAGTTTAGCAGGCTTCAGGTTTACTCAGTAATTATATACGTTGTTCCATCAGATCTGAACAGCTTTATTAACCTGCCGAACAGAATCCCGCAGCATGCTGCGTCCACCACCATATTTATGTTATTGTTTAAGTGTTCTTGTTCATGTGCAGGGTCATTATTATTTTTTGCTTGATTTATTGCCAAATTGTGTTTTGTATGTTGGCCAGAAAGAAAATGTTTGAAATCTATGCAGAGTTTACAAGGGGGCAAGTCACATGTTATGACTTAAAGGTTACATATT